ATCTCTCCTTCTTCTTTTTAGTAATGTTTTAAATTAAAGTTTTATGTGTTTATATATTTTATGTTCTAATGTTTGTTGTGAATCGCCCAGAGTTCCCCCGTTGGGGGGAGATGGGCGGCTGAAAAATTAATTAAATAAATAAATAAATAAATTCCACCTAGCATTTTATTTCTCTCACAGTGATTAATCAGATGCCTCTGCTAATAAGCGTCCTGCCATTGTTTCCCTGCAACTGATCTTTAAAGGCATGCTGCCCTCAACTCTCAGGTTGTGGGCTTTTCTAGATACTGGATGTATTTTATAAGCACTCTGTTGGTGCTGTTGTTTCCTAGTGAAGTCACTTAATGTGTATTATTATCCACTTCTCACTATTCTCCATAATTCTCTTTAACATTTCATTTCAGGTCTCTCTTTTGTTTTCTCTGTGGGTTGAAACAGTAAGACCATACCTACAGACAGTGGATGAGTGGATTGTCCATGGTAATTTATTTGATCCTGCTAAAGAATTTATAATTCAGAGGTAATGATAGTGAACGTCTTGTGGATATATTTATATTTTTTATGGTATACATAATTGGCTTGGTGATGATAACGGTGGACCCAAGAGAAACCCTGCATAAGTATGCTTACCATATTCCTAAGTATCCACATCATGTGCAGTTAGAGATTTGTGTAATCCAGCATAGGAAAACTCATTTGTTCATGAAGTTCTAGACTGTGCTTACAAAAAATAGTCACATGACTTTTGATTTATTACTCAGTAACACAACAAAAACTTAGAATTTGGACAGCTGTAACATGCTTAACTTATGTGAAACAGAATCTCAGGAGCTATAGAGAAGAGACAAGCAATATTATGAAATTGAAATAAAAACATTTTCAAAATTTCAGAGAGGAAAATATCAAAGCGGCTGACTAGGGAAAGATGGAGGATGAAACCCTAGGGTAAAAAAAAAAAAGGATGCTTGATGGTTGAATGCAAAGACAATGAAAGTTCTCACTCAAGAATGTCAACAAATAGAGGAATATAAAAAAAAAGATTTAAAAAAAATCAGAAAAATTAAAGGAACATTTACAGATAATTACTGCAGAGTAACTACAGAAGAAGTTTGGTAGAGACAAATGAGGTTATAGGAAGTTGAAAAGACCTTATTGAAATAGTTCATAAATAGGATTCTGTAATGCATAAAACATATGTTTAGAGAATATATTCAGAAATCAGTTCCACTAAAAATTGTGAAATACTAAATTAACAGATCAATTATTAAATAGGCTGCAGTAGGTATAGATGAAATACCAGTTGAATTGTTCAAAACTGCTAGAGAAAAATACAGCTTAAGTGCTGATGGCTATTTGTTAATAAACAGGGAAAAAAACTGTAGCCTAGAAATTTGAAAAAAATTGTATATATATTTGTACCATAGGGGGAAGATGAAAGAGAACGCTTAAATTATTGAACCATTATATTAATTTCTCCAACAAATGGTTTTGCTTGAGATGTTACAAAGAAAATAGAAATGTATATGGAAAAAGAAATGCCAGGTAAATAGGAAGGTTTCAGAAAAGACAGAGACTAATCTAATATGGATAATGAAGAGAGCAAGAGAATACACAAAGATATCCCTTTCCCTTCATTGGGCGCAGCAAGGTCTTTGATTGATCATGTCAGAACATGATATGAGAAGCTACTGTAAGAAGTGAATTTGAAGTAGTTTGAATTAGGGAAGGAAGTGAGGCAAGGTTGCATATTGTTACCATGTCTGTTTGGCTTATGTGAAGAATAAATGATAAGAATGTCACCGTTGGGAGAGATGGCAGCTGGAATTAAAATGTGATGTTGCATCATTCCTATTTTGAGATATGGAAATAATATCACTTTGCTGAAAGACTTAGAATAGCTACTTATGAAAACTGAAAGTGAAAAATCCAAATTAATATTAAATACGAGTTATGACAACCTGCATATTCAATGAATTTACATTTGATTTTGATGAAAGGAAGGTGATAGTTTCTTTGGGTGCAAGACTAGATAAAGATGGACAGTATGCTGGAGAAATAAAGATGAGATTAATTGAAGAATGGAAACCAGTGAAAGCTAATACAAGATCATGAAGTTAGGTAAGGGCATCTTGGTTATAATAAAGATCAGAAGAGTTAAAGCAGGTCTTCCTCATAGGATATATGACTGTGAAAAATGGAGTCTGAGAAAGAGAAAGAAGATATAAGCCTTAAAATTGTGGATTTGGAGAATATGGACTATAAGTAGAACTAGTCAGTTAGTTATGGGTCAGATAAAGGTTAGCTGTTCCCTTGAAGAGTTGTTCAGCAAGCAGGCATTTGTGTACTTTGGGCATAACGTATGCAGGAGCTCGACTAGCAAAAATAATTATGCTCGGCAAAATGTGAGAGTAATTAAAGGGAAAGACAGCAGATGAGTGGATGGACAGGATGAAAGAGAATATTGGCATGTCTTTGAAATAGCTACAAATTATTACCAAATATGGCATGCATTTACACATGCATCAGAAGATAGTTCAGTGGTATCTGACAATCAATCAAATCTAATAAAATAGCAAATTATATCTAGAATAATTGTTTTAATGAATAATACTCTACATTTTACAAGAGTAGTTAAACTGTTATATACATTATACAAGTAATACAATACAGTTCAGTGAAGACTAGTTAACACATTTTAATGTTTTAGTAACCGTAAGTACAATTTTAAAAATTGACATGTTGCTGGGAGAATACTTACAACCAGATTCAGTGGTTTAATTATTTTATTGCTGTTTTGTGTGACGTAACATTACAGTCACTACAGCTACTTGAATTCAGAATATAAAATACGTAAGAACCTTCCTATTTTGGCAACTGATCTCTATATCGTAATTCTAATCTTGGTGTTTTCTCAGTCAGAATGTATGTAGTGCCTTTGAAATTTTAGTTGGCTGTGATGAGTCTTCTTCAAATCTGTTTATCTGCACTGGACCTTAACTTCAGCTGCAGAACTAAAAGCTGCAGATGGTGGATGAATATTCTTCTCTAGTTAGTTGGAAAACCTGTCTTAGATTCTTATTGTAACCACATACATTGTTAATAAAGAAATATATGTAAGTTCCTGAGAAATAACTGACAATCACATGTTTTTCTCTGCAGAAACAAAAATGTTTCAGTAAATCATAGAGATTTTTGGTATGCCACCTACACATTATATAGTGTATCAGAAAAGACTGAGAATGAAGAGAAAATGAGTGATAATGCTAGTGCCAGTTCTGGCAGCGATCAGGCACCATCAAGCAGACAGCATACCATGGTTTCCTTTTTAAAACCTGTGTTAAAGCAGATCATTATGGCTGGGAAGTCCATGCAGTTGTTAAAAAATTTGCAGTGCACGGATGGTTCCCCACAGCCAGCTGCAGCACGAGGTAAAAACTGAATTTCTGCAAAATGCTCCTTTGCTGTGTAATGTTGTACGTCCTGATTTTTAGAATTTTTGTAGCACTGCATGACTTGCATGTAAATTAAAAAATGAACTATTTAGATTGTTAAATAGATAAGTAATATTTCTGATAAACATTCTACAGTTTATGTCTAATTTATGCCTACTTAATTTTAAGCCACTTTTAAATATCAGTGTTTAGACAAAACATTTGACTTGACTTTTACTTTTTAATAAGGGCTTTATATTCATTTTTAGAAAGTGCATTACTAACTAATGGAATTTTCTGCCAGATGATATAACAGGCATTGAGAACTCCGGGGTTTATGTGGCTCTCCAGTCACTTCATTTGTAGCCTCCAGTAGTCCTCTCCTACTACAGCTGGTGAAAATCAAAAGCATGGTTTACTGCCATTTTGGCAATAAACAAGAGAAATGTGGTAAAAGCTCTAAAATATTTAACATTCTTTAATGTTAAAAAATAAACCAACAACTACAAACCCATAAAAAAAAAGCAGAAAATTAGGACCTGTCCGTGCATACAAGACCTTGTACTACCTATTTTGCCCACTTTCTTGCCCTTTAAAATATGTTACTTTGGCCAGTGAAAAGTTGCTGCCTATCAGAGATATGGCAGATTCTCCAGGCAGGTTGCAGAGGCCTATTGGTAAAAAGTTGCTGTTTATTTCTTCCAGTGTTGGAAGAGGTTAGCCTCTTGATACTACATATTGGTGAACATGGATGACAGAATGCTACTTTTCGTGTGTGTCTTGTATGAAGGCTTAGTTTTGATATCAGGTCAGTTCACAATGGAAATAGAATGCCTGAGTTTAATCCAGTAGAATTTTTATTAAGATTTTTTTAGTCAGCTCAAAACATTTTGTCATGTTTATTAAAATCAGGATTAAGCCAGTTGGTGTGGATGATGGCCTGAGATTATAGGACTTGCAGTCCAAAACACCTAGAGATCACTAGGTTGTCCACCCATGGAATAAGTGGTAGCATTAATAAGGAATTAAATTAAAATGACCTTATCCACCTCAAATCGGAGACTATTTGTGCCTGAATCAAGATTTGTACCATCAGTTAATTTTTGGAGGAAAGGTATAAGGAGCTATAATTGTATTATTTTTTAATAAATTAAGATGAAATCTGTAGGCCAGTAGAGGCAGCTGAGATAACAAGCCAGCCTAGGTTTAGAGTGATAGATAGATAGATAGATAGATACAGGCTTTTAAAAATTCTATTAGCAGGAAATTTCTATTAACAGGAATTTTTTTATATGTTTACACCCTGCTGCAATCCTGCATGACTCTGAGCAGTTTACAGGAACATATAAATCAGTAAACCACCCACAGTTAGATTAAAATAATAAAAATCTTTAAAACATATTAAAAAATAAATGTAAAGCCAGGTGTCAAGATCCAGATGCCCTCCAGAGGAGTTCCGTTTTTGGTTGCTTCCAGAAGGCAGCCTCAGACAGAGTTAAGTTACACTTCAAAAGGAGGCCATTCCAGAGGGTTGGCTCTGCTGCAGAAAAGCAGTGTCTCTGGCACATCAGCTGAAACTGGGTGAAGACTCCTCTAGTGACAGCTTCCATCTGCTGCTCCAGCAAGAGCCATGAGTCCAGGAAGACCCCCCAGTCATAGATCTGCTCCTTCATGTTAGTGCTTGCTTTTTATTTAGTTAGTTACAAAATGTAGATGGTTGCCCATCTCACTATTGTAGCTCTGGTTGGCTAACAAGAAATTTAATTAACTCAGATTAATTTAAAAAATAAATTACAGCCAGAATCAGTATATCATGTGTTAGAAGTTCAAATAATTCATTCTATCTTAAAATTAATAAATCCTAATCATCAAACAATCAGGGTTCACCTAACACCCTGGCCCAAATGACAACCAGGTCTTTAGTGCCTTGGCTTCCCCATCTGGAGATACCATTGGAGCTGCCAGAAAACCCCAATGGGCAGTTAGTAACTTGCTAGGATTCAACCTTACCCTGTTCTCTCCATCCAGATCCTCATAGCCTTCAGACACCAGCATACAGCAGCATCATTACATGCATGCATTTCATTTTGGATCTTTATACTGTAACACACACTATCTCAACAATGTTTAAGAGGTCAAAACAGACATCCATTCTGAAGAAGAACATACAGGTCAAAATTAGGAAGCCATTGTCTACCTCTTAAGCATGTTTAAGTGATTAAGGCTGTTAAGTCTCTGCAACTCTTGGGCATCTGAAGATGAAATGAAAAACGTCTTAAATACAGTGTGTCACCCTTAGTTGACATAGTATATTAAGCCATTGTCTTGTTTTATTATTGTTACTGCTAAAAAAAATCAGTGCTTCTAGTTCAGGTTCCCCCTTATGTTTTGTTTGACCAGTTAGATTGATTTCATTGTCAGTGTAGACAAAAGCTTCAAGTGGTTTATTTCTTTCTGGTTTATATGAACGATGGTCTTGAAGAAATAATCTATGTTTCAATGTTCAGGTGCAGAAAGGAAGAGCTTGTACGTGTTATTTTTGGAGTCTGTGCAATTGCGTCTACGTCATGGGGACGAACATATTCAAGATACTTTTATAGAACAACGGGCTACTAAGGAAAGCCTAATAAAGATGCAGTCTATTGCAGAAAGACATTTAGAATTGGATAATATTCATGATCCTTTATTGGCTATTAATTTTGCAAGGTAATATAAGAGATTCAGTATATATTTTTTGTCCTTTCTAATTTTTCAAACATCAGTCTGATTCTACCAGACAAATATGGGGGAGTTCCTGCTACTCCATAACCATATACATGATTTGGAACACAATACCAGGTAGCTTATCAACAAGTTAAATCTTTAGAACTCATACATTGTTAACCTTTATTATGCTCATTACTGTCTGCTATAACAGTTGTCAGGATATTGTATCCAAAATGTAAATACATAAGATAATAAATTGTTTAAATAAATAACAATAACAGAAGTATGACAGTATGCCAAAATACAATAGAGAGTGAAGTTTGGTTAATAAACCAAAATTGAGTAAAAGAGAAAGAGCTGGTTCCAGACCAAACTCAGTAATGATTCAGTTTAGTAATGACTGAAAATGTAATGCCAAGCTTAATTGTGCCAGAGATTGGAGCTAAGAAGGAAAGAGGTTGTAGGTCAGAGTTCCCTGTTCTGAATGTCAAAATAAGTTGGGAAATCCTCAGGAGATATTATTATTAAAAACATATACAGAAGCATAACCTATTTCTAATTTTACAGTATTTCCTCTCTTAGAAAAGTTATGTTACCAGTTTGGTGCTTGGAGGCAATTAAGTATTAATCATATGATCTTTCATAGGTTCTAAGAGCTTGTATTTCTTTCATTCTCTCCCTCTATTCATAGAGGTTGGATGTCTTTCTGAATGGATGTCCCAAATCATAAAAAATGTATATAAAACATATAACTCATCTGGTTAAAGATTCCGTTTGTTGAATTCAGTTCCGTCTATCTAGTAAAAAAAGTTTACGGTGCTAGCATGACCAGATAATTTAGAACCTTCATTTATATGGCTTATGATAGCAAGAAATGTTTTAAGTCCTCTGATGTCACTGTACACTTTGCTAGTACAGGTAGTCCTTGACCTATGACCATTCGGTCAGTGACTGTTCACTGAATGAATGGTGGTTATGACTGGTCCTTGGAGTTCCAGCTGTCCCAGCACCCCCATGGTCACATGATCATGATCTGGGTGCTTGGCAACCTATTCGCACTTACGACCGGTTGCCAAGTGCCCCATGATCACATGATTGCCATTTGGAACCTTCCCTGCTGGTTTCCCCAAAAAGTCAATGGGGAAGTCAGCAGGGAAGGTCACAAGTCACTGGGGCAAGTCTCTTCCACCTGCGCACCCTCCCCTAGCTCCTCTGCGCTTGTGCCACTCCGGCCACTCGTACACCCCTGTGCACCCTCCCTGACCTGTGCCAAACCCTAGTGCACCCTCCCCTGCCCAGGTGGTGCCTCTCGCACACCCTCATGCATCCTCCCTGACCCACGCGGCACCTCTTGTGACCTCCTCACACTTTCGTGCACCCTCCCTGACCTGTGCTGCACCTTGCGCATCCTCTGCAAACCTCCCCAACCCGTGTGGTGCCTCTTGCGCACCCCTTGTACCCTTGCAACCCTCCCCAACCCGCATAGTGGCTCTCACGCATACCCTCCCGCACCATCCCTGACCTGTGCAGCACCTCTCACGTTGATGCTGGTTTCTGTCTATAGTGGCTTTTTCATTTTGTTGAACATATTGAATTCTGAATTTTTAGTATGCTTTTTTATGTGCAAAAAAGTTCCAGCATATAGTGTCAGTTATTGCTCCTGATAGTTTTAACTAAGCCATAGTAATTGCATTTAGATATCTGAAGAAGACAGTCAAACTTTCCTGGTAATTGTTTTTCCTGCTGTCAAATACAGAGCAATTTATATGTTATTTGCTAAAGGAGAAAGTGTCTTCCTTTTTACTAAATTAATATTATACAGAATTAAATATACCATAACAGTATCAATATTAATAGACTTGAATAGTAACTCAATATAATATAGCATAGTTACATACTCAAAGTTATAATTTACACATCATTATGCCAGTATCGAGGCTTCTCTGGTAAATAATTCTTACCAGCAAACAAGCAAGAAGGACTGAGAACATAAGATGGTCTTTTCCAAATCATAAAATCCTAATCTTTCAAATACTTTATTTTTCTCAAAATGTATATTTAATGATAGAATAAATACAGTAGAATCATATTTGTATATTATCAGTTTTTCAGGAGCAGTTCCTTTTCTTATACAGCTGTTTCCTAACATAAATCTCAGTAGTCTGATATCTTACATATTTTTTAAAAAAAACTGTCCAATAAATGTGAAGATTAGGCAGGCTTTATTTATCCTACACTAAACGGATACCCCAGTTTATTTCAGATGTGTCCAAATAATATAACGTCTTTAGGAACTATGTTTTCCCCCCATTATCGCCAAACAATCATCATGGAGAAAAACTATCTGTGTGGTCGCTAAGAATCAACACTGACTTGATGACGCATAATCAGTTGCCAGACAAAAAACAAAACAGCTACAGAACCTGTGGAAATCTGTCTCTCAAAATTAGAGACCATTTGTTATCCATAGTTTGCTTATCTCGAGCATATTTATACAAATTTTGTATTTACATACTGGAATTAAAATGGAGGATCTAAAGTTAATATATGTATTATATATATATATATATATTTTGCAGGCTATATCTGGATCAGGGTAACATACATGAGACGCTTACTGCTGGTGATGTTTGTGTGGACAGGTCATCCGAATCAGTTACATGCCAGACGTTTGAGCTGACGCTGAGATCTTGTCTTTACCCTCACATTAACAAGCAGTATCTAGAGTGTTGTGGAAATTTAATGCAAACTTTGAAGAAAGATTACAGGTAAGAATTTATGTAAGCTGCCAGTTATGACATGTAGCTAATATATATTTTCAGTATGCTGCAGTAGACATTTCCTTGTTCAGCTTAAGTCCAAGTCCTTCTTGTTTATTCTTCAGCTGGTAGAAGAAATATCCTAGTGGCTATGACTACTTAGTATTGTGATAGATGGTTTGAAAGAGGGGACCAGATTGCAATTTTTATTTCTTATCTATTTTTTTTTTAGCAAAAACATTCAGAATCTGAAGGAAGAAAATAAGTTCACAAAGTTCTACTAGATGTATATATTCAGATTTCAGGAAATATATGCAGGCATGTATGATTTGCATATTTCAGATATAAGAATTGATTTACATATGGTTTTACTCAAGAAGAAAGCAGAAATGACAGACGTCACCTGCATCAAAGCAGTTTTCTTTTTTGAAAGGTTATTGAATTAACTTCATTGTGTATGGGTGTCCAAACTAACCTAATTAAATAGGAACATTTGATGTATAGCTGATAGCTAGATTTAATATTAGAGAGCCAGTTTGGTGTAATGGTTAAGGCACCAGGCTAGAAACTGGGAGACCATGAGTTCTAGTCCTGCCTTAGGCACCAAGCCAGCTGGGTGATCTTGGGCCAGTCACTCTCTCTCAGCCCTAGGAAGGAGGCAAAGGCAAACCACTTCTGAAATCTTGCCAAGAAAGCTGCAGGGACTTGTCCAGGCAGTCGCATGGAATCCACACTGACTTGAAGGCACATGCACACACACAAAAGATTTAATATTATGTTAAGTTGAAACTATAGGGAGAAGTATCAGTAACTGGGTGTAATTAACTGTTACTGTATGTAACTTCTAAACATACATATTTCAGCCACCAAAAAAGTTTTGTGGAGGTGTACTTGTTAACATAATTTTACCTATTTTGAGCATCTTTGAAAGCAATAAAACATGGGATTAAATAAATGACATGTGAATGGTGTAGAACTGGGATCCTCACCATAACTTCATAGGCTATAATATACATATAGACATGTATTTTTGCACTCACTGAAATTTCTTGCATGTCCTGATTTTAAAAGCATGTTTATTTTGTGTGGCTACAAAGTGGAGCACTTGTATAGCATACTCCATCATCTTCAGTCTCTTTCTCAGGAATGTTGCTGTGCCCTACATGTTTCTAGATATATTTTTATGTTGCTGGATGATCTGACTAGTGACAGAGAAAACTGTAGGACACCCTGGTATGGCTTGGAAAGGCCTGTAGGTGACAAAGATATAAGCATTCTGACCTTAAATATCCATAGGAGCTACTTACTTACTTTTAAATTTTGCAAAAAAAAAAAAAAAAAAGTGCTTTCCCTGGAAAATAAAGCAATTCACCTTCAGGATATAGTTCAGAGTTTTTAACTGGTTTGGTCCAACCAACCCATTTTGAGAAATAAGGAAATAGCATCAGTTTTGGGTAGTGATAGTTTAATTTCATTGTTATGCTGGAATATTTATGAATATTCAAAATAATTAGGACATAATACATCTGAAAAATAGTTTGGAGTTCTTTGTAGAGAAATTTGTAATGACAGATTAAAGTTTCTTTGTATCAGCTTAGTCTAATCTAGGGGTCAGCAACCTTCTTCTGAATAGGAGTCAGAGACCATGCCACCAACATTTCCATTGACTGTTGCTCCACCTGCACCATGGTAGTTGGTCTAGCTGTCACTAAAATGGCCACCCAGGGAGGTGGCAAACACTCTCTCCCTCTCTCTTGCATGCTGGGTGAATATATTCTTTTTTGGGACTGTGGGCTGGATGGTTTTGGGTGATGGTCCACCTTCAGCCTGCGTGCCATTGATTGCCAACCCCTGGTCTAAACTGAGAGATATAAGCTCTTCAAGCAACTTAGTATCTCATGTGGTTTCATGATATCTACCTGATCAATTTGGCTAGGGCTGGGCAGAGGAAAGCATTGCATAAAAAGGGAAGTAGCTCAGCAGCTGAAGTATAGATGTAGAATACAGGTAGTCCTTGGCTTATGTCCATTCATTCAGTAACCATTCAAAGTTACGGTAGCACTGAAAAACATGGATGTATGGCTGGTCCTCTAAATTCTGGCCATTGTAGCATCCCTGCAGTCACACGATTGCACTCTGGGTGCTCAGGTGCCCAGCTTGCGATTACAACCTTGCAGGGACCCCTGGTCACGTGATTGCCAATCATGACCTTCCCTCCTACCCTCCCATAAGCAAAGTCAATGGGGAAGCCAGCAGGGAAGGTTGTAAGTTGCTCCAGTAAGCCACTCCTGCTTTTTCTCCCGCCTGCAGAAGCCACCCTGTGCCGGCCCTCCCGACTCATGGTCTGCCTATGCTGACCCTCCCCAGCCTTCCCCAACCCACACGCGCTGGATCTCCCAGGGCCTCCCCGGCCTCCCCCCCCACCCCCTGCGGCACCTCTGCACTCCTTACCTGGGATTCCCACCTCTTCCCGCTTAATAACCCGCATGTCTTGAGGTTATGACAGCTGCTGGGATTGCCGTTGCTAAGTGATGCAGTCACGTGACATCACAACTGCATTGCTTAGTGATGGCAGTCCCAGTCCCAATTGCCATTATAACCCAAGGGCTACCTGTGGACTTAAAATTATGACTTCTGTGCAGCTACAGGTAGGTAAAAAGAATTTGGAAGAAGGTGAGATGCTTGTTGCAAGAAAACATAATTGATAAAGAAATAAGTTAGATGATGAGAATGTTGGGCAAGCACCATAAGATATTGTATTCTGTAAAACATAAATAAATGGATCTGAAATTAGGTCTCTTGAATGACATAATTTATTGAGATTTACAATTTTTAAAGTAAATATAGTTGAATTCCATTATATTAGTCTTACATCTACAGTTTCATTGCATAACTGAAGCACTGAAATGTACATTATGATGAAATTTGTATTTCTTGCTTAGGCTGGTAGAATACCTGCAGGCAATGAGAAACTTTTTCTTACTTGAGGCTGGTGATACAATGTATGACTTCTACACATCTATTTTTGATAAAATTCGAGAGAAAGACACATGGCAGAGTGAAGCATTCCTAAATGTCCAGCTTCAAGAAGCAGTTGGACAACGTTATCCAGAGGATAGTTTAAGGTAATAAAGTAACTATATCTAATAGAGGAGGAAGGATTTGCTATAGGTGTGCCACTTCTGTTGTAAAAGGAATTGAATTTTAAATGCATTGTAATGGCATATGAAGCATATTAGCATGTTCTACTTCTGTGAGGTTAACATAAACTAAGTTAATGTAAGTTGAATGTGAATGAAGGCATATAGTTGCATGTTAATACTACCGGGGCTATTGCTAATAGTAAGGGAGATCTTGGTAATGGGCTTAGTTGTAATTTGGCTCTAATTTAGGATGAGTGAATTTTTAGAGGTTAAAATTAAGAAAAGTTCATATGTAATGACTAGGAAACCTCAGTTTTAAATGATTTGAAGCAGCCACTGATCACATCAGTTTAAGAACAAGTACCAGTGTCTGGTTTAGAATGTAACCGTTTCTGTGATACCTAATATCCCATGTCGAAATCAAATTTCTCATTACAAAGTTTGCAACAGAAGTAATTGTGGATGGTGGATCTTATCTGAAAACTTTTGTATTGAATTTCATTAACCAGATAGACATCTACCTTTGAATAAACAGTTGATAATGGACACATGTTTTTGTATATAGGTTGTCAATTCTATGTGAAAATATTGATATAGCAAAGAAGAAGTTGCCTGTTCATACACTAGATGGCTTAATACTGAGTTACAAGGTAATACTTGCTTGTACTGAAATGAAAGATTTAATATTAAAGGTAAAAGGATACTAAAAAAGATTTTTTGTTTTGTTTTCCTACTCAGGTCCCTTGGCCAGTGGATATAGTTATAAGCGTTGAGTGTCAAAAAATCTATAATCAAGTCTTTCTCTTATTGTTACAAATAAAGTGGGCCAAATACAGTCTGGATGTGTTGAGGTTTCATGGTAAGAGGATTGATGGATATGTTTAATTCTTTATAATGGAAATATAATTCTAAAAACCATACTACCTCCAGCTTCTACAGAAGTTTACCTGAAATAATGGACATTTGAATGCATTTGTATGAATGGTGTAAATTGACCCATGTGATGTAAAAACATTGGTTACACAATTATGCAAATGACAGAAACTATGTCAGATACTTAAGCTTGGGCTTAATGGACATTTGGCTTCAACAAATACTCCTTTTGCCTAAATAGTTTGTTAAATCAAGGTTTTACTGCAGTGTAGAGACTTTAAATTCTGAGATCAAATGAACATAAGAAGGACAAAAGTAACATTGCAGTGCACGGTCATCATTCTACTTAACTGTGCCTTTTATCAGGATACTGTATTTAATCCCCCTTTGCTTCTTCATACACCTAAACTGTCAATCTTTACCAAGCAAGGATTCATATTCTCCACTGCATTATTTTGGGCAGGATTTCAAAATTATATTAATGTTTATTATTTTAGTAATTAGCAATATTTTTGTACTCTTCCAATCAAATTACTCTGGGTAGTATGCAGAGTTATTACAAGATTATTAATACCTTCCTGTGGTTCACAGATGATGTCATCTTGATTTGGCTGCATAAGGCTGTACTCACAGAATATAAGTTTGCCAAAGTAAAATAGATATGATTAGCTGAAATCTGGCAAATAAATAAATAATCTGTAACTAAAGGGATCACTAAATATGTTATGCAAATTTTGCTACATTTGTGTATCTTGTATAGTTTATTCTGTGTAATTATGAGAAAAACTAGTGAAGAAATATGCAAGGTCCTGCTTGAAACTCAAACATATATTTGTAGAATCTAAATATTTGAGAGAGACCTCAGATGTCATCCATTGCATCGTATCATTTAGTCAAACCATCAAATGGTAATCAAGTCTGCATTGGAGACCATTGCTGTGGTGGGGTTTATAGAAGTCATGACATTCTTCAGAATGTTTAGATGAAACCCTCCTTAAAACATTCAGAACTCTGTAATGGCTAGAATTACAAACTTCCTATTATTTTGATTAAAGTTGAAATGCTCATGTTGGCTTTTGTTTTCCATGTTGCAAAACCTGGGAGAGTCATAACTTTAATTCACATTACTTCTTATTTATCAGAAATATAAATATAATAATAATAATATTCTTTTGGTAGTCACAGCATCAGTGATTATAAACAATTAAAAGTCATTGTACGAGATTACATTAGAATGTTACTGTTAAGTAACTACTATATATCTTAGTTTAATAAAAAGTTGTTTGAAGACATGTTGTTTAGCTTATAATTTAAAAATCCCTTAATGCTGTGTTTTAATTCCTTGTGTTCTCAGTGCCAATTGAGTTAGACCTCTAGAGTAATAGGAAGGAGAGGGTGCTATTGTGCTTATGTACTGCTTACGGACTTTGTGTTGAATATGTGGAAAGAAAGTTGGGGTACATGAATCCTTGGTCAAATCTTGCCTGGCTGTTAATTGTAATTACAATCTTGTCCTGCTTTTTGCTATCTTTACATCATGCCATTGCTCTCCTCTGTTCTTTGAATATGTATTTTAAAGTGGTACATTCAGAAAGCTGGACTTTTCACCTAAAAATGTAGTTGTGAGAGGAGTTGTAATTTATACTGTTTTGCTTTTTTCCTAATATGTTATTTTATTGCATTTCCTTCTTAAGAACTAGTCAGAGCAGCAGAAAAGCCCCAGAATAACAGAGGTACTGTACTTGATCAAGAAGCAGTTCTTCAGTTTGGATTTCAGTTGGAGCCCATTAAACAACAAACTCATCGTATGTTTCTTTTAAGAATGAAACTCATGCACTTTGTTAACAGCCTGCACAACTACATTATGACTAGGGTATGTGATGCACAATACATTTCAGTAAGATTAGAAATAACTTTTTGTAAACAATCTGAAGTGATTTTGGACTGTTTCTTAGTTTGTATAGCAAAAGTACTGCACATTTTTATCTGGGCTTTAATTAAAAGTTAGATATATGATTTCATGCTCAGTTTAGTGTCTGTTCAGATTTTAAATACCAAATTCTGCTAAAATAAAATGGCTTTCAAATGCATGATTACTTCTTCTGTAATATATCCTGGCTAATAACAAGCACTGCAAAGTAAATTTATTAGCCACGTCAATTTAGCTTTAGTTTGCATTCTAAACTATTCCAGATGTATTGTTGTTATATCTGCTGATAGGAATATAGAGGGAAAACCAGTATTTATTCTTCATGTAATAACAATAATTTGTATCCTTCCCAAATAATATTTACAATTGGAAATAAAAAATTCAGATTCTTACTTAGAGTCATACTTCCTGACAAATATTCAAGGCCAACATAACATTTCCAGGCTATAGCTACATTTTAGGGATTCTTTCTTAGATGTGGTTCCCTATTATATCATCATTTTAAAAAACAGTGGGTTAAGTTCTGAAACTCTGCTTGTTTTAATCTGGGGAGTGCATTCATTACCCTAACGATCTAACTGCCATTTGTTGTAATAAGAAATGCCTTGTACTCTTAAAAATTGAACTCTCTGGAGAAAATTACAGTGCAAAGATTTTTCATCTAGAGAAAAGGGATTTAAATGCAAATTTTGGTTCATTATACGTTTTCCTCCTTTTACAAGATTCTTCATAGTACAGGTTTGGAGTTCCAACATCAAGTAGAAGAAGCAAAAGATTTAGATCAATTAATCAAAATACATTATAGATACCTTTCTACAATCCATGATCGTTGCCTCCTGAGAGAAAAGGTATGTCAAATAATGCATATAATATTTGTAAGGGGCTGGGAATTACTAATTTCTAACATCTAACAACTAATTTAAATCATAATGAATGAAAATTGATATTTGGAATCTTCATCTTTAAATGGTCACATTGACCACATAGAATAATACTGCCAGTCTGTCCCATACTTCAGTAAAAAGCAAGTTCATAGGTGAAGACTTAATACATATCAATCCAGGATTGTAAATCAGGTATAGCAGATTTTTTTCACCAGTCTTTTTGGTCACATCTCATGCATGGTAATCCAGAGTTCTTCATGGATTGGCAAATTCCAGTTTTTCAGTATGTAGCTCAAAACCATATTGAAATGTTTAAGTGTTATTTTCCCCAAAACTGATTTAATAAACTAATAACCAAGCTTTATAATTAAGACAGGCCAATGTGGAACAGGCCTACAGCTCCAGTATATTACAACATACTGATTATCAACCCTTGCTAAGCATCCTTCTGTTGAATAAATCTCATTTTAAGATCATAAGACATATTTAATATTTATAAAAAAAACTAATTGGCTTGTGAAAACAGGGACAAACGTTTCCTAATTCTTTCTACAACACAGTAGTTGTTTTTTATGTTAGCAACAGTGTTCAGCAATAAAATCAAGTGATACCTCTCATAATCATCAAGACCAGCCTCAAAACAACAGTTATAAAAGGTTTGTTAACTGAAGAACCTCCAGTTATATTGGAATAAGAAAATCAATAATTCAGTAAGAAAAAACATCTGGTCCAGGAACCTTATCTTTTGTCATTAACTTAAAAGTTATCTGTTCTTGAAGTGATGATTGTGCGGCTAAATAATTGTAAAGAAATTTATCCCCCAAATCTTTAATATGATCTTCTAAGACCCTTGTATCTGCATTTTAAAATCAAATATAAAAATGAAAAAGTGTTGGTTTATCAAATTCTAGTCATCATATACTTTATCCTGATAATCCTTAGTAGAGATACTATTATTTGGTTGGTATTGTTTCAGTCTAGAAGCCAATAATTTACTGCTTTTTTCTCATCGCTCCTGATAATGTTGTTTTATATGATCCAGTGAGTATTGGGTGTCTAGCATTTGATAATGTTCCATTTTAGCAGAGAAACATTTTATATAATCCCACCATAGACGGTCTCACATTCAATAATTCCTTAATTTCTTTTTCTAACTTCTCATATTCCAGTTTTTCTTTCTTATTTTTCCAATTTGATATATTTGCCTTAAAAGCACCCCAATCAGTAGATTGCAGAATTCCTATTTCAAAATTGTGCTTCATTTCTTTTATGAATTATGAAGCCTTCAATAACTGTAGGATACTGCAAGGGCAGAAAATGATAGAGGCATAGCAAATGGTGTTATTGTAAATGAAATTAATTAAAATTTCCTCTTTTTTCCTATCTTTTGCCTTTCATTTATTTAGCTTACTACTTTTTATTGTTTACTGCTGTTGTATTGTTTGGGGTAACATTGCTTATCCAAAAGGGATGCGAGATAGATCGATCGGTCGGTCGGTCGATAGTCAGTCCAGTGCAGCACAGAATTCATTTATAAGATTAGGTTGTTATTTTCCTGTTTAAACTTTTGCTCATCTGGGAAAAAGAGTTTGGTTTTCAAAGTTAATACAGTAAATACTGTAAAAGGAGGTTTGTAGTTCTTTCCTTCTTTCTTGGGAAAAAAAAAATGTAGTTTTCAGGACTTTTTGCTCCTTTGGTTTATTTAGCTTAGTGTATTTAGAAGTATAATGTATTTTGGTATAGGTCCATGATCAAATCTTTTTTTTCCCTGTAAATGTGTTTGGAATATGGGTATTTCCTCTAATGTGACTATCTGCTTTGCTTTACTTTTCTTCATGCTATCCATTCCTAAAGACTCTGGGTGGCTAACAGTCTTATTTGTGTTGTAAAAATAAATAGTTACAAAAATATCTCTCTCCTAAATAAAAGTAACCAAATCACGAGATATATTAAACCAGTAAATATACTCAATATACTAATATACTCAAAAATGTTCATTGGTCTGACATTTCACATAGTTTCACATAGAAATTAAAATTGGAAAAATTATTCTTTTAACTCTCTTTCCTTATACATTTGTTTCATGAATTATATAATAAATTGCCACATTCTAGAACAGGATTGGAAGTACTTCATCTGTGAACTTCAGTGTACCAGGGCTTGATTGTGGTCATTAGATTCATGCTGCCAGGTTTTTACCATTTTTCCAAAAAATTAACCACAGTGGGATGTAAAAGTTTTAATTCGTGATAAAACAATTTGTTTTTCAAGGAACATTGGCTTTATAAGCTAATCATGTTCATGAATAGAGGCTATCTACGTGGTATGTCAAATAGATACCAAGATCACAAGAAAACCTTAAAAGACATAAAGCTTCTGGTTGGGAAGCTGTTTTAGGAACAATTGAATAATAAGCAACTGTTTTTAAATAAATGAAGAATGGAATATGTGTCAGTGAATATACTAGCTTGAATCTCTACATAAAACTGTGATAGAAGCTGTTACCTTTTAAATTTCATTTCCAGGTTAGTTTTGTGAAAGAAGCAATAATGAAAGTTCTGAACCTAGTATTGATGTTTGCAGATCGTTGGCAAGCTGGTTTGGGAGCTTGGAAGTAAGTACCTGCTCAATCATATGCATCACAATTAGTTTACAGAATTGGGACTTTTTTTTACTGACATTTATTCTTTGTGTGAAGCCTTACGAGTAAGATGCAGTATAGTGTTGACAGACTAATCGTGTAGGCCACAATGGAATTCATTTACATTGGATCTTATCACTTCTGGACACATGTTAGCTTCACAATCAGTGTGTCTTTTAAGCATCATGTTGTAAATTGTACATTCAGAAAATAAATTAGATGCAATCAACAATAAAAGGAATTACATTATTGGAGCCCTTTTCTCTGTGGTACCAAATATCTATTTGGTTTGAATTCTCTTATATCGAGAAATGTTGAACATCTTGAAATATCATTTGAAGTGTTTTCAGCTTGTGAAAATTAGGGTGTATCAACTATTACTTAGTATGGTCCTGTAGAGATGCACAGGCATCTTTCTGGCATCAAATAATTTGGTATTGTCTGTGGGTATTCTGGGTATAAATCTGGATATAAAATCTGGGTATAAAAAATAGCCATCAGCTGTATCCAGAGAACTAAAATTTAATTCTCTTGTTGCTTGCTTCAAATTGTGATTTTTAAGAATAGTTTCAGCAATGGTTTATGGGTTGCCCCTGAGAAGCAGTCACGACTATGATTATACATTTACTTCGTTAATGGGGCATCTGTAGCAAACTGTGTATATAAAACATACAATGTAAGAATAGGGTTATATCCCATGAATTTGCTGTAGGTTATGAGTGCTTTGACATACATATCCAGTCATCCAACCTGAATGGTAAATATCACATATCTAAAAAGCATGCATCATTGTGGGAAACATAGCATGATAAGAATAAATTAGAGTTTACAAGGTAGAGTGAATTGTTCCACCAACTCTTCAAGGTAAACTTTGTTGCAAGTGATAAAGCCTTGAACGATTTGTATGATACATGATTGAAAGTAATACAAAGGATAAAAGATTGAGTTAACAAAGTGCCTGTACCTTTGTAATAAAAACATTTCCTGTTTAAAGCTTTGTACTACAGATATTTTTATGTTATCGCTCAGAAAGTAATAGTATTTTTTCCCCAAAACAACTTGATTTTTGTTTGTACTGCCTGCCTAACTTATCTTTCATTATTTTTAGGATGGAATCCATAACGAAGATGGAATCAGATTTTAAAAACTGCCATATGTTTCTTGTGACAGTACTAAACAAAGCAGTCTGTAGAGGCTCTTTTCCACATTGTGAGTATGCAGGGAATAAAGTCTTTTTTTTTAAATAAACATTGTTAAACATTTAGAATAAAGCATGCAGTACTACTTTCTTAATACTTGTAGCCCCAAATACTCTTAATCATAGTATTAGCTACCAGAAAATAATTATATCCTATGTTGTGGAATATTGGTATTCGTTAATAAGAATGTTGTTAGAAATATGTGTAACTTAACTGTAATTTGTACAAAGTATATCATAGTTTTATCTACCTGTGATATGTTTTGTTTGAAAGGCAATTTCCTCTATTTTGATCCTAAATACTTTACTCTTTTTTGATTCACAGTGGAATCTTTAGCTTTGTCACTCATGGCTGGAATGGAACAAACTTAGCATGACATACAAGCATGAAATTATACACAAGCAACAACTTCTTTGAAACATTGTGGTATTAGCTGAAATGTCCTTTGATTTATGTTGCAGGCACTTCGTTTTGATTGGTCACAGTATTTCAGTCCTAGGTTTCTCACATATATGTACAAATGTATAGATAATACACTTGAAACTGTACAAATGTAAATAATGAAACTATGATTAATTTTATATGTGAAATGTTTTTCTGACCAAGCCATATTTTTGTTTTCCTCTGTGAGACACAAACAGCAAAACAAATGTTGTAAAACAAACCTTTTAAATATTTCCATTAACTCTATATTAGTGCATAAGTTATCAATTATCCCTAAATATAATACTAGTGATGTTGGATTGAGTTTCCTTTTCCCCTCTTCAGTATATAATTATTTTGATTAAATTAAATTCACAACTGTAGTGGCTGTGATAAATATCAAATTTCAATAAAATTGGCACTGGAAAAGTACCTTAGGATTTATTAACTTACTACACTGTATATAGTTAATTGTTTGGCATTCTTAGTAAATATGACTAAGCTTTTACATTTTGTAATTACAGGTAGTCCTTGGTTAACAACCATTCATTCAGTTACCATTCAAAGTTACAACATCGCTGAACAAGGAGATTTATGGCCAGTCCTCAAAGTTGCGGCCATTGCAGTGTCCCCACAGGCATGTGATTGTGATTTGGGCACTTGGCAACTGGCTTGCAATTACAATGGTTGCAGTGTCCCGCAATCATGTGATTGCAATTTGCGATCTTCACTGCTGGCTTCTGACAAGGAAAGTCAATGGGGAAGCCAGCAGGAGATCACAAATGGCAATCACATGATATTGCACCTAACAACAACATGGGATAATGACCACAACTGGAACTGTTGTAAGCTGGTGCAGTCACGTGACATCGTACTTTATGACCACGTTGCTTAGCGACAGAGTCCCCGGTCCCAGTTATTGTCGTTAACCGAGGACTACCTGTATGACTACCTGTTTTCTGCATTGTCAATTCACAAATAATGTGAGTATAATGCTTTCCTGCAAATATACAATTCCTTCAATGATTATGGCACATGGCTTGAAGACCACAAAAAAATCTCAGCTGGAATTAACCACAAACTGGTCATTCTGCAAAACAGAATCACAGATCAGTATAAATGATCTGCTGAAAATTTTAGTTGACATTGGAGTGTCCATCAGACCACAGTACAGTATTGCATGGAGAGTTATCAGAAGGAAACACAAAAGTCATTATTTAAGGTATGCAAAAGAAAACTTTGATAAGCTGAAACAGTTTGGAACAAAGTGTTTTGAACTCATAAAGCAAACACTGAAATATTCAGTCACAACCAGACAAGTTACATTTTCAGAAAAAAGGATGAAATAATTGAAGAAAAGAGCATCTTGACTATTGTTAAGGATGTGGGTAGTTCTGTTATACTTTGGAGTGGGGTGGGGTGGGGTGGCATCCAGCAGCACAGCATATATTTTGCAGATGGAAGGAGGAATAAGTTGAACTAAATATCAGTATATTCTGGAAGCTAATGTCCCACTGTCATTTAAGAAATTCACGTAAAAAGAGGTTAGATATTTCAGCAGGACAGCAATCTGAAATACTGCCAAATCAACCATGAATATTTGCAAGAAAGAAAAAGGAAAGTATTGGAATATCCTTCACATTCCCCAGAATTGAATATTATTGAAAATCTGAGGAAACATCTCAAACACATGATTCATGCAAGGATACCCAAGAACATTTCTGAACTAGTGCAGCTGTGCAAGGAAGAGAGGGGAAAAAATTCCAAAAGCAAGAAAACAAAGACTATTTTATGTCTTCAGAAAATTTGCCACTTCTGGCAAAAGAGGTGTTTCAAAATCCAAACTTTTCCACCTGCCATATTCACTTTAATTTACGCAACTGCACATAAACAGTAAGTATATACTCAAAATTGCAGAAAGTTACCATGTTTTACTTTGTACTTTGTAGAAGTGATATCAGTTCTGTTCACTTAAGGATGCATTAAATCATACAACTGGACCAGGTTGCCAAACTTTTGCATGCAAATGTATGTTAATTAGTTTTGTATTGGCTGTCTCATTCTGGAAGTATTGCATGGGAAATACAAAAAGTTCCTCAATTTTGAGGATATTCTGTGAGAACGTGCATGACCGTGACTATAATGACTGAAAAATGACTCTTTGGGTTCTTGTTCCTCTTTGGTATTAGGGGCTGAACTAAAGTTTTTCACTTTTTTGCAGTTGATACAGTTCTGGCAGTTACTGTAATCACCATAGCTAACTCTTGTTGCATATTTTTCTTTCATGCATAAGATGTGGTACTACTAAAAAATTTACTAAAATGTACTACTGTATTGAGAAACACGTACTAGAAACAAAATAATCTATTCCTGTAAACAGCACGATCAACATAAGAACAAACCAAGAATGGGCAGTATTAAAAGTCATGAGGTTTAGCTCTCTTTAAGAACAAAAAGAATACTAGAGTTATTTTTCAGAAGGGACGATTAATGCCAGTGGCCTGCCACAAGACTGGTAATTATTGTAAAGTAATTTGTTGGGGCTATTCCCCTTTTTGGTATGAAAAGGTATCTGCCAAAGGCTTAAGTCTCCCCATAATCCTAAAAAAAAGGACATCTTACCATTTCAGGCTGTCGCCTCTGGTTATCTCATAAAAAAAAAAAAGACTTCCTTTCAGGAAAAATAGACTAATATGCCACCTCCCTCCAGTGCTAACTTTTCTCCTGAGGGAGCTTAGAACAGAAAAATTTGGGAGCTCTATAGAGCAAAGATGCTTTGGCTATACTGTACAACTTTTTCATCGTGCTTGTTGATGCAGGATTCCTCTCAAATTCTGTAGGAAAAAGGACTTGCTAAGATAATTTGCAACCCTAGATGCTAAGGTTTAAAGTTCACAGAGCTCGTGCGAGACGCGGTCTGTTTGTGAGTCTCACGTCTAAGCCAAAATGCGGTTTGTTTTTGCTTCGCGTGGTGTGTGACCTTGTCCCCCCTGTAAACAGGAGTTCAGGGTTAATGTAGCGTATCAGTAAAACCGCTAACAAGGCATTACAGTCTTGCCAGGAATCATCCTGCAGCCTGGGTCCACAAAGAGATTCGTCTTGGATTCACGAACCACCTATTAGTCAGGCACGTTGCAAATTCAGTTCAGTTTGGAGTTAGACGGGACACGCTAACCTAGCAAACCTGGCTTCTGTTTTCTCTTAGTAAAGACTCCGGGGCGGCAAGTAACCGAATGACATCACGTACGGCAATATTCGCACAGCTTTGTGTCTAGAAAGTAACTTTTTCTTTGTGAGGAGAAGGAGCGCTTGGGTCTCCGCCCCCTCCCACTGCCAGCCGGCGCGAAGATCGGAAAGGATTCCTTCCCTCGGAAGGAGGAGCCCCGGATAGTTTGCGGGGCGGGCTGAGTGCTTTCGAGGGGAATGGACGAGGGTTTGAGCCGGGACGGGGGAGGAGCTGGAGTGGGAGGAAGGGTGTTTCCTGGCGCTATTTCCCGGTTTGACTCTGGCCGGAAACTTCGAGCGTCCAGCGGCCCTGGGAAGCGGAGCGGCGGTAGCCCGGCGGGGCAGGAGCTGGGCGGCGCAGGGGCCAGAGCCGAAGGGGAGTGAGCCCAGCCCGCAGGGCGACTGG